TGGTGATGGTGATGGTGATGGTGATGGTGATGGTGATGGTGATGGTGGTGGTGGTGCTGATGGTGGTGGTGGTGGTGGTGGTGGTGATGGTGGTGATGGTGGTGATGGTGATGGTGGTGGTGGTGATGATGATGACAATGGTGATGACGATGGTGGTGGTGATGATGATGATGATGATGATGACGACGTAGAATCAGGTCATCACCTCCCAAAATTCTCGATAACTGTTTGTCAAGGAACTCAGCATGTTTGACCAGTGAAGACTTTGCAAGGAAACAGCAGAGGCCGTGTATCTTAGCACTGCTGCTGCAAACATTTAGCGCCTCTCAGATGCCTAGCAAAACGTGACCAGGTGGCCAGAATTATATACTAGAAACGAGCTGTCCTTCACTAACCTAAGAGAAGACAGATCCCTGTTCTACAAACACTGACCCTGGCCTGTATTTGAGAATTCAGCAAATCCAGATTATTATCACAACTAAAATCATTGTCTCTAATCCCTGTGTTGTAACATTAAATCCTTAAAAACATGTTGTTGTTTTTGTTGTTCAGTTGTGTTTTACTCTTCGTGACCCCCCCATTTGGGGTTTTCTTGGCGAGATACTGAAGTGGTTTGCCATTACCTTCTCTGCTCTTTTTACAGGTGAGGAGACTGAGGCAAACAGGTTTAAGGGATTTGTCTAGGGTCACACAGCTAGGAAGTGTCTGAGGCTAAATTTGAACTCAGGAAGATGAATCTTCCTGAATTAGGCTCAGCGCTCTATCTACTGTGCCACATATTTGCCCTAGTTTCCCTGAATATTTCTTTCAATTTTTGTTTTTGCTTTGTCTGAGATCATGATTGGTTGGTACCTCTTCCTTTTTTTTTTTTTTTTCTTTGCTTTAGCTGAAACATAATAGATTCTATTCAGGCCCGTTATTTTAACTCTGTGTGTCTTTCTGTTTCAAATAAGTCTCTTCTGTACAACCCTTCATTGCATTCTAGTTTCGAATCCATTCTGCTATCCATTGCCATCTTGTGGGTATGCTCAGTCCATTTACCTTCTTGTTGTATTCCCTCCATCCTGTTTTCTGTTTATCCTTCTCTCTTTTTACCATGAGTTTGTTTTGCTTCTGATCCCTGCCTCCCTTAATCTCCCCTCCCTTCTATCATTTCCCCTGCCCATATCTCTTATCCCCTTCCTCTCCCATTTCCCTGTTGAATAAGATAGAAGAAGTATCTTCCGTCTTTGAACTCCTTCCTAGGGCAATGAAGGCCAAGTACCACCACTCCCATCCTCTCTTTTCCCTCCACTGTAAAAGCTCCTTCTTGCTTGCCCCTTTTACGTGAGAAAAATCTTCCCCATTCTTCCTCTTCCTTCCCCCTCCTCCCAGCACATCCCTCTTTCTCACTCCTACGTGTTGTTTTGTTTTGTTTTTTTTTTTTGGGAGATTATCCCAGCATAATTGGATCACCTTCATGCCTTTGGTCTAGGTATAATCCTTCTAACTGCCCTAATAATGATAAAATTCTTAGAAGTTGCATGTATTATCTTCTCATATAGGAATGTAAACAGCTTGACTTTATTGAGACCCTTATGATTACTCTTTCGTGTTTACCTTTCTATGCTTCTCCTGAGTCTTGTGTTTGAATGTCAGATATGTTCTGTTCGGCTCTGATCTTGGCATCAGGAAGGCTTGGGAGTCCTTTATTTCATTAAATGTCCATTTTCCCCCCTCCAGGATTATACTCAGTTTTGCTGAATAGATTTTTCTTGTTTGTATTCCTAGCTCCTTTGCCTTCCAGAATACCATATTCCAAGCCTGCCACTCCTTTAACATGGAAGTGGCTAAATCTTGTACAATCCTGACTGGCTCTGTGATATTTGAATTGTTTCTTTCTGGATGCTTGCACTATATTCTCCTTGACTTGGGAGCTCTGGAATTTGGCTGTAATATTCCTGGGAGTTTTTCTTTTGGGGTCTCTTTCAGGAAGTGATTAGTTGATTCTTTTAATGACTATTTTACCTTTAGCTGTAGGATATCAGGGCATTTTTTTTTTTATCATTTCTTGAAATTTGATGTCTAGACTCTTTCATTGATCATTGATTTCAGGGAGTCTAATAATTCTTAGATTATGTCTCCTGGATCTGTTTTCAATGCTTCCAAGGTGGTGTGATCTGGGAAGAGGTAACTGCTGGTCACTGCTCTCCTGGCGTTACCCAAGAAGGCGGTCACAAGCAATAATGCTCTTCTCTACCCTGGAAATGTGACCTAGAACTGTGTGTGGCAGTAGAGTTGCCAGTCAGTGCCAGTACACCCAGGGCCACTAGAAGCTGTGTCTTTGGGCTGTACGTAATAATGTTATCCTTCTGGCCATTCATCCGTTACCATCTCTGGGTTGAGAGCTCCCGAAGCTGCCACCACTGCTGCCATCTCCAGGGCCCATGGCTGGTGATGCCGCCATGCTCAGGGCGTGTGCCCACCCTGGTGTTCTGCTGCCCCAAAATTTGACTTGAGGTGTTACTTAAAGTTGTTTGGAGGGGAATTTTGGGAAAGTTCAGTGGCCTATCCTTCACCATCTTTGTCCCATTTTGTGACTCATTTGAACCTTTTAACAGCTCCCGCTACAGTAGGCCCTCGGGGTGTTATCTGCACTTAGAGTTACCTGGTCACACACTTACCATTGGATGTAGGATAACTCGGGACAGGTTCCTTATTCCTCACCTGTAAAATGAACATGATAGACCCCATCTCCCAGGGGGCGGTGAGGATTAAACGAAATCCTATTTACAAAGCACTTTAAAACTCTATGGAAATTCTATTATTATTGTTATAGATTGGAGTTAAAAAACAAGGAAGCTGTTCTAAGCCAGTTAGCATGTTGAGTAAAATAATGATAAAATAAAACAATAAAATAATGCATAACTCAAGACTGCCTCTGAACCTGAATGTCCAGGACACTGGATGCAAACCCTCTTTGATTCTCTTTGGGAGTTGCACTTATGTGAGATGGCCGGGGCTGGCGAGTAGCCAAGCCTGTCCACCTGCCCCGCTTCTTGGCTCCGTAGCATAATGTGGTGGTGGTGGTGGTGTTGGAGAGTGTGTGTGTGTGTGTGTGTGAGAGAGAGAGAGAGAGAGAGAGAGAGAGAGATAGGAGGGGAGAATGGGGGGAGAGAGAGAGAGAGGAGGGGAGAATGGGAGGAGGGAGAGAGATAAAGAGAAAGGGGGGGAAGAAGAGAATGGGGAGGTAGAGGAAGAGAAGAGACAGAGAGGGATGGAGAGAGAGATAGGGAGGGACAGAGAAAGGAAGAGGAAGGGAGGGAGACAGGAAGAGAGAGGAGCTTATGTTGTCAGTGTCTGTCAAATGCCAGGCCAAGGAGAAGAGCAATTAAAAAAAAAATTGCACACAACTTGGTCCAGACTTTGATGTGGAGCTTAGAAAAGAATAAGAAATACAGAGTTTTTTGCCTTTTTAAAAAAGATGCTACAAAATAAATGAGAGGGAATAAGCTGTGACCCTGTAAATCCTCCCCAGGACCCTTGACTGTTCTTCACTGTCCCCACTCCTGCTTTGTCCCCCCTCCTCAGAGTCAGCCCAGGCTGCCGTGCTTTGTGCTGGCAGAAGTCTTGGGGGAGAGGTGACTAAATTTAAAAGGGAAAAAAAGGAAGAAATTCATTAGTTTTTGTTTTTTTTTAAACATTTTAAACAGGTAGGTAATGCTAGTTTGCTCATTACCAGGTTAGGTTCCTTGAGTTTAAAGAAATGATTAGTTATCAAAGCCCACTTCACACTGGGATGGTCTGAATTTTTCTTTTGTTTCAACTTACCTTTGAGATGAACATTGCCAACCTTTTCCTTTTTAATGAATGTGATGTTTGAGTGAATTCTTGCTCTAATCATTTAGAAAAATGCATTTGCTATATGATGCGTTCATTCTCTCGAAGTTTTCATGTTTATTTTTTCCTTCTTAAATATGCAACAGATGTCTTTCTTCTTTATCACTGCGGGCAAATAAAAACAGGAAAGAAATTTTATCAATCCCTGATTTGCACAAAGATGGAAGACTTTGCAGTGACCTCGGATTTCTAAAGAAAGTGTTTTGGACCACAGCCTGCCACTTTCAGATCACTTGGGTAGGTGGTTTTGAACTGTCACTCTGGTGTACAGCATGGACATTTTATTCCTAACCGATATGGCTGATAGCCAGTCAGCTCGGGCCCAAACCTGTTGTTTTTCTCCAGACAGCATTATTTTCATTTTAAGCAGCCCCATGTGCCTTCCATGAGATTGGTCCTCACTGCCGACCCCTAGAAGCCTCCTTCCAAGCTGCTCCACAAAGCCTTCCGGGATTCCCTCCCTTGCCTCCCTGATTGCTCATGCCCTCTCCCTTCTGTGCCGTCTCTAGGATGCATAGTCAGTAAGTATCGTTTGGTATCATCCGAGGAGAATGTAAGCTTCTTGAGGACAGGGCTGGCTTTGCTTTTTTGTCTTTGTCTCTCTGATGCCCAGAAATTCACTTGAAATGGACATTGAGAAGTTGAAAGTGAGCAGTTCACTGAACTTCTGCAGTCTGTCCTGGTTGACTTGGGGATTCTCAGGAGGTGAGCCAGGATGCTGAGAAGCCTGGGCAGTGCCCCCCTCCTCCGTGGAAGAGTTTCAGAAGAGCTGTTCTGTGCTGGGCTTGACCCAGCGGGGGGCACCAGGAGCCCTGGGAGTGGGTCCTAGCTCCAGTGAATGATGCAGAGACGTGGGTGCCACGGCAGGTAGCAGGTTTCCTCTTGCTGTCCCATCTCCTTCTTTGTGTCCTGGTCCTGGCGCCCCCATACCTGGGAGGGTCTCCCTCCTTGGGCTCTGCCTGGCTACTTGTGCCTCCCCCTCATAGGTATCCACCAGCTCTGAATAGATCTCTCATGTCACGACTTCATGACATGCTGTCTCCTCTGTCAGCAAGTGAGCCCCTTGAGGGCAGGCACTGTGTTTTTGCCTTCTCTGTATGCCTGGTGCCTGTCGCACACTAAGCCCCACAGAAGTCCTTGGTATTTGATTTTTTTTTTTTTTTTTTTTGCTAAGCAATGGGGTCAAGTGGCTTGCTGAGGGTCACACAGCTAGTAAGTGTTATGTGTCTAAGGCCGGATTTGAACTCGGGTCCTCCTGAATCCAGGGCCGATGCTCTGTCTACTGCACCACCTAGCTGTCCCTCGGTGGTTATAGTTGTAAAGTGTTTAGTGCAATGCCTGACACAGTAGGTGCTTAATAAATGCTTATTCCCTATTTCCCTTTAGACTGTGTAGTACGAGTACTGTGTTTGATAAATATTGTCTGGTGAGAAAGAATCTTCCTAAGTCAGTTCTGCCAAAAGCATCATGCATTCTGTGTGTAGTTCAAATCATGCTGCAGTGATTAAGATGGCTATGTCGTTCCCAGGGACATTTCTCAGGTGCTTCCAGAGCGGAGGCTTGTGTAGGGCCGTGGGGTTGGGTGAGGCTGGGCGTGTGACGCAGAGCCAAGCTCTGGGTCCCTTGAATGTCCGGTTAAGGAGGCCAACTCTAAAGTCACAAGCTTAAGAATTCTAGGAAGAGTGTGGGACAGATCTTTCTGGCCCATCTCTATTTGGGCCTGATCAGAAGAGCTGTCCCCTAAGCCGGGATGTTCAGGAGTTTTATGTTTGGGTGGCCGGGGATGTTTCACATGGCTGATGCCTTGTGTTGTGGTGAGAAAGGTGTTGCCAGAGAGTAGCACATTCATAATTGAAATTATATTATAGGGAATTGTTTATGGATGTGTGTTATCACATAGGAATAGCTGTTTCTGTAAAAGGTGGCTTGCTTAGCATGAGCAGGCCAGAATTAGGAGAGCTGGCAAACAAGCTCCGTCTGCCCCATGACCTTCTCTCCGGGGTTGGGGGAGACTGCAGTGATGGGAGCAGCCCCTCCCTGCCTTTATTCCATCTTGTGACAGTTCCTGATCCCTACTGTCTTCACAGAGAAATCGGGTGTGATGAGAGCCAGGCTTTGTGGTGAGGGCTGCGGCTGGGCCTGGAGTGAGTTACTGGGAAGGAGACTTGGAATTGTCTCACAAATGGCGCTGCTCATCTCAGTGCCTGCAGGAATTCCTCTTGAATGGAAATCCACTATTTCAAACTTTCATTGAATTAATTTTAATATAAAGCTTGAATCAATAAAAAGAGGCTTGGGAAAACTCCCGTCCTCCCCAAAATAGCATTTTAAGAATTCAGGCCCCGTATTTCTTGCTTGTAATTAGAAGGAAGAAGCAGCTCCCCTGGCATTTATTGATTCTCCCCTTTTGGAAACTCAACTAAATTTTTATTCTTTTATTTTGACAGGTCACTAATATTATATGAGATCATAGAAAAAATGGGGCCTGCTAAGAAATACAGTTATCAGAAAAGAGAAGAGCCTGGGAGAGTGAAGGGACATAGGCTGTCAGAATGCAAATCACAGTGAAGCTGAGGCTTTATGTGGAACGCTAAATGAAAGAAGAAGAGTTTGAGGGAAAAGGGCCCCCATCGTCTTGCCCCAGCGGCTCGGCGACAGGCGGGCGTGGGTCATGCAGGGCCCCAGGACAGCTTTGTGGACCTTGGCTATGGTCGGGTCAGTCAGAAGGTGGAGGGGCATGGGCAGCGGCTGGCTGGGGTGTAGTTGGGGCATGGTGGTCTCCCTGTTCAAGATTTGGAATTGCCCCCAGGTAGAAGAGGTTTAACATTTGTTCTACTCAACCCCAGAGGGCAGAATGCCAGGCAGTCCTTGCTGGACTTCAGAGAGGGCAGCAGCTCCAGGCTTGATTTAAAAGGGGTCAGAGAAGGTGTGGGGGCTTTGGAGGACCGCAAGCCAAACAAGAGTCCAAAATGCAATATGGTGGCCCTCCAGAGCAGCTCATGCCTTCTTAGGTTGGGGCCAGAGGTCTGGTGACCAGCAGAGAGGAGGAGATAAACCTCCTTCCCTCTGCCCAGGTTGGATCACTCCTGCGTGTTCAGTTTTGTGCACCCCATTTTAGGAAGAGCATCGATAATCCACAGTGTTTGGGGAGGGTGACCAGGATGGCAAAGGTCTCGAGATCAGGTTGTAGTAACAGTGATTTACTGAAAAAATGGGGAGTATTTAGACTAGAAGAGTGATGATGGGGACCTCTGGTCAAGTGTTTAATGGCCTCTCCCTTGAAGAGGGGTGAGACTTGGTCAGCCTCACAGCAGTGGCTGGAAATGACCAAGTGCCTCGGTTGGGCCAGAGAGGAGGAGAAACCTTCTCATTATGGAGGTATCTTCCATTGGAGCGGACTTCCTGGGTGGGAGCCAGGTCTTAAAGGGGAGGTGGTGGAGTGACAAGATCAGCTGCCTCTGCCAGGCTAGGATTCTGTGAGCGGCCAGTGAATGAACACGTCAGATGCTTGGCGAACTTTAAGGTTCTATGGAAATACTGGTGGTGGTGGTTGTTAGCCCTCAGTTAGTGGTTGACTTTGCAGAAAGGTGTGGCTCTAAATTCAGCTTTATTAGATGAGAAATTGTGGTTCACCCAGCGTTGGAGCTTTGGTGAAGCTTTGATGATGATGGTGACAGTGACGGTGATGGTGGTGATGGTGACGGCGGTGATGGTGACGGCGGCAGTGGTGACGGTGACGGCGGTGATGGTGACGGTGATGACGACGGTGATGATGGTGGCGGTGATAGTGATGGTGATGATGGTGGTAATAATGGCTCCGAACATTTATTTATTGTTATAAGGTTTGCAAAGTACTTAACTCTCATTGTCTCATTTGATCCTCACAATGACCCTGATAGGTAGGTGCTGTTATTTTCCCCATGTTGCAAATCAGGGAACTGAGGCAGGCAGGGTTTAAATGACTTGCCCAGGAGGACACAGCCAGTGAGTGACTGAGATGGAATTTGAACTCAGGTCTTCCTGAGTCCAGAACTCTGTGCACCACCTCCCTGCTTATGTTAGAGACTCTTTCCTTTTTCTTGTAATGTGCTGTGACTTCCTTGGGCCTGATGGTGACTTGATTTGCGCGTTGTGGATGTCCATAAAGTAGTCATTTCTCAACCAGACATGTGACTTACTCCACGGGCTTTCTTCTCCAGTGCCAGATTGTGATGTGGAGGTAACTTGGATACCCAAAGACTCTGCCCACAGAGGGCAGACCCTTGGAGGTCCTACCCATCAGGCAGAGAATGCTTTTATACAGCCAGCGATGAACTTGAATGTGAGCTCTTTGAAAGTTGGGATGGTTTGTATCCCCTTCGTTGATTGGTTGATTGATGACTGGCCTAAGAATTAGCCTAGCCAAGGCGTCAGAGGTTTTTTACTGGGTTTAGCCTAGAGGAGTAGGGCCATGACAACTCTGCAGACACTTGACTGGGTAGCGGAGGTATGGTCAGCATTGGTGCATGGGTCTTGACACTGATGAAATCTCAGCCCCTTGGAGGTTCAGCAGTTTCTGTGGTTTCCTTCAGATGCCTTTTGGAGGACAGCTGAGCTTATTAGCATACACCTCCCCCTGTGTGGATTTGGATAGATACCGAAATTCCCCAGGGGCCTCACATTCCTCATCTGGTCGATGGAAGAGTTTGTAGAGAAAGATAATGAGGTCTGTTTTGGACATGCCAATGGGATATCCAGTTGGAGAGATTCAAAAGGCATTTAGTGATGCAGGCCTGGAGCTCAGGAGAGGTACCGAGATTGGATAAGTACCAGACTGAATTCTTGCTCTGTTATGTCCAAGATTATTACAAACAATATTTCAGTTATTGTAATTAGGACTTTAAAGTCCTGAACAATCTTTGGGGAAAACCACAGAAGCCTTTTTCTGAGAAACAGTTAATTGTTTGAGTCCATAGTTTTTGAAGAATTTAGTGGAATATAAAAGACTTGGGTATTTAATTTTGCATTTGCAAGTGTTTAATCAAATAGAAAGTACATTTTAGGTCCAGGAATCTTGGCTTCATCATAGTGTTGGACTGAATTATTGGGTAAAGAGTAAAAGGTGGAGAATTTTATATTCAAGCTATCAAGCCAGTGAGAGGTTCTAGGAACAAGTCACCTCATTTAGGCCATAAAATTCACTGCCATATGGAAGCCTTTGAATCCTGGTGAATTGAACCTTGGATTGGTGATTTAAA